TGGATTACAAGTCTGAAGACTTCTTTTTTTTTTTTTCCACTTGTGCATTATCTTGGCCTCCTTATCTCCAGACACCAGGCATCGTGTGAACCAAATTCCTTAGTTTATTTGTTTTTGCAAGTGAGGCTTATCTGGATAACCTTTATATAGCTTTACAAGTAGGGTAATCCATAAAGATAATCCTCCCAATACTTTTTTTTTTAAGATTGTCCAAAGTGCATAAATATGTCTTTTTTGATGCTCTCCCTGGTCAGTTATAACCATCTGGTCTGCGAGGAGCTTTTTCCCACCGTCTCTTTGCAGTGGTAACCTCTGATTATATTTTGCAAATGTCGTGGAGCGAAGAGAAACTCATGCACACTTTCAACGGCATCAGGTTTACTACAAGATCCACGCCGGAACTTTTAAATTCTTTGGTTTCCTTCAATGCTAGAGAAGACGATATTCTGTTGGTTTCCTACCCCAAATCTGGTAAGGTTCGTTTGGAATTTGGCCGAAAGAGAATTCGTTATTCAGTTAAATGAGTGAGAAAAGAAAACGAATTCGGCTGAATTCGTTCAATATTGTCGAAAGCTGGGCTAGAAATTCTGTACCGTAAGAAATGCAAGGAATGCAAGGAACCAGGTTGGGTTCACCCTCACAATAAACTAAGCTATGTTGGTTTTAATATTAGTTAGGTGATTGGCTTTCTAAGTGCACAGCCGGTCAGGTGAATCCAATTGGTGAGTTTTTGTAACTACTGGATCTTGTACAAAATACCCTGTTTCCCCTAAAATAAGACATCCCCTGATAATAAGCCCAATCGGGCTTTTGAATGCATGCACTAAAATAAGCCTCCCCTGAAAATAAGCCCTCCCTGAAAATATTTAAACTCATGCGCAGCGGTCCCTGCCATTTCCTCTGGTTTCCTCCACGCGCCCCAAAATAATAAGACCTCCCTGAAAATAAGGCCCAAGCTCTTATTTCGGGGTTCAAAAAAATAAAAGACAGGGTCTTATTTTCGGGGAAACACGGTAGAAAAAATGGGTGAATTTGTGGTTTTTGCAATCAAGAACTTGAAGCCCTTTTTTGAGCATTGTAAAAAATGGAAGTAAACATTCCGTTCTGGCAAAAATGTTATAAATAGTGGTCATTTGATCACCAGGCACTGCAAATGGCTGTAAATTCGGACTGGTTCCCGAGGATCTGAAATGTAGATGTTAGGCTCAGAAGATCAGATCCACACATGAAGGTCCAAAATTAAATTGATTTATTGCTAATCATGCCTATGGACAGGAAACATCTCAACTGTTGTCGGCACCTGCTGGGACTTAAATAAGAGTCAATAGAATTCAAGGGAGGGGGGGTTGGATTTACGTAGAGATTACGTGTGGCTACGTAGAGATTCTAGGCTGATCCCCCTTTTAACTCCACCCCCAGGTTCTGTCATCCCTCTTCCTACAGTGGTCACGTGACTGCAGGGTGGGAGGGCAATGTCAGTACTTTAAACCTGTGTCGTACGTAGCTTTTCAGGGGTCTGTTGTAACTTTGAACTGTGACCGGTGGTAAGTCAAGGACTACCTGCAGTGCAATCAATTCATGCTTCTGCATCTACCTCTACAAGGTTCACCTGCCTATCCTTTGCATTATTTTCTTCTCATTGGCCAATAGATGGTAGGCTTCTTCCAGTGGTGGGATTCAAATAATTTAACAACCGGTTCTCTGCCCTAATGATTTCTTCCAACAACCAGTTCACCAAACTGCTCAGAAAGTTAACAACCCATTCTCCCAAAGGGCTGCGAACTGGCTGAATCCCACCACTGGTTTCTTCCATGCGTGCTTTCACACAACCTAAAGGTGCTTTTTCAGGAGGCAACTGGATTTTTTTGTTTTTTTCTTTGAAGACGTTTTGCTTCTCCTCCAAGAAGCTTCTTCAGCTCTGACAGGATAGTGGAGAATGGAAAGATTTATCATCCTTGCAGCCAGCTGGTCATTTGCATCCTTTTAGAGAGTCATTGAAGCACTTGGAGGTTTATTTTTGTCTTCAGGGTCACCTGAGTGGTGCTCCTGGTTCCTGTAGTCGGCAGTTTTTCCTCTGGAAATCCATTCCTACTCCCACACCATTCCAAGGGTGTCCATCCCAAATTGTAGAGCTAAAAGTCTATAGAGAGTCTCAGTCATCTATGTCATGGTTGTCCCAAAGGTGATTTTTTCAGGGGACAACTGGACTTTCTGGTTTTTCTTTGAAGACCTTTCGCTTCTCATTGTTTTGGCTCCGTTACCTGAGCCTGTGTCATTGGCAGGAGAGGACTCCAAGAGTGAAGGAGAGGAGTTGGCAAGGCGTCCCTCTCCAGGACCCTCCTCTCTGGCAATGCCTTCGGTGTCCGCCGAAGGGCAAGAGATAGGGCCGGGGCCAAACATGTCCATGCAGCCACAGATGGACAGTGATGAGGATAATAAGTCTTGGCTGGATCCACGCCAGTGTCACAGAGATAAGCGCGTGCAACAGAAGAAAAGGCGTGCCCAAGATTAGGCTGAGTCACTGGACCACACCCCACAGGATATAAACGGGAGCGTGGTGGCCAGTCAAACCTTGTGACGAACAAAGCTGAAAGCTTCCACGCCATTCTGCATTGCCGGACTTTTGCTTTAAGACTTTGCTGGAAGTATCTCTGGACTTGATTTAATTCCGTAATTATTGAACTGCTTTACTTTGATGTATCAGAAGTGGGGAGACGTTATCTCTCCTCTTTGTAAATAATAAATTTTTGGCAGGCAGCCACTAGGTTGTTGCCAAGTTCCGTTATCATAAGGAAAAGGATTTTGCCAGCTGGCTTGGTCTTTAACTCCTGAACGTCTGTTGGTGTGTGTGCATGGGGTTGGGGACAGAACACTCATCCAAGAAGCTTCTTCAGCTCTGACAGGATAGTGGGGAATGGAAAGATTTACATTCCTTGCAGACAGCTGGTCATTTCCATCCTTTTGTCTCCTGAAAAAGCTCTGTTGGAACGACCATGACCTGGATGACTGAGAATCTCTACAGACTTTTAGCTATAGGAGTGCTACTCAGGTGACCCTGAGTGACACAGATAAACCTCCAAGCACTTCAACGACCCTCTAAAACAGTGTTTCTCAACCTTGGTAGCTTGAAGATGGGTGGACTTCAACTCCCAGAATCCCACAGCCAGCACTGCTGGCTGGGGGATTCTGGGAGTTGAAGTCCACCCATCTTCAAGTTTCCAAGGTTGAGAAACATTGCTCCAAAAGGATGCAAATGACCAGCTGTCTGCAAGGAGTATAAATCCTTCCATTCCCCACCATCCAGTCAGAGCTGAAGAAGCTTCTTGGGCGAGAAGCGAAACATCTTCAAAAGAAAAAAACAAGAAAGTCCATTTGCCTCCTGAAAAGGCACCTTTGGGACAACCATGTCCTGAATGACGGAGAATCTCTACAGACTTTTTCACACAACCTTTGTCCTACCCTGGTTTGACATTCTGCCAATCCGATGCCTTTTTCACTTCTCTCTCCTGTTAGGGACCCATTGGCTGGCGGAAATCCTTACCCACATCTATGCATCCAAAGTGGCTTTGACTTCTCCCATTGAATTTGGAGACCTTTCCAAACTGGATCAACTGGATCGCCTTTCCTGCAAAAGGATCATTCCGACTCACTTGGACAGCAATCTGCTGCCACCGACATTCAGGGTCAAGCATTGCAAGGTTAAATTTAATTTGAGATCTTGGCACCATTACTTAATCTGTTGTGTGGATGTTTGGGTGGTTTAGGGGTGGGGAATTGTGGTGGGTGGGAGTGTGTTTGGGGATTGTTATGTGTGTTGGATCTGGTCTTTGGGTGTTAAGTGAATTTCGTTGTATGGGTAAACTGTGTATACATGTACAATGACAATAAAGTTATTTATTTATTTATCAAATACACATTAAAAAGTAAGCAAATCTAAAATGTTGGATAAATGTGGATGCTAGATTTTTAAAGGTTCTGGATGAACCCAGCTCTTGAGGTCCAATTATAACATTCTATATCTATTTTGTAGGCCATTTATATAGTCAGAAATCCAAAGGATATCGCTGTATCCATGTTCCATTACTATCAAGAGAATCCAAATCTTCCCACCGTAGATTCCTGGCCAAATTTCCTGGAGATGTTCTTAAAAGGAGATGGTAAGATTTAAAGTGTGGCTATGGAAATGTGTACCCCCTGAAGGGCAGCAGGCTAGGAAAATTTGATTCAGATCATAGCTAAGACTTTGAAACATGGACATTTTAATCTTCCTGACTTGGCTGATAATGTTCATCAGCCAAAAAATGTGTTCTATCTGCATAGCATGGAAAAATTGGACAAGGGAAATTAGTTTTATCTCTTTTCAAATTGTAAGGAAAAGGGATCCTTGATTGAAACTGATTAGAACAAGATTTAGAATAGACCAGAGGTCTCCAACCTTGGCAATTTTAAGACTTGTGAACTTCAACTCCCAGAATTCCTCAGCCAGCTGGGAGTTGAAGTCCACAAGTCTTAAAGTTGCCAAGGTTGGAGACCCCTGGAATAGACAAAAGAAAGGCCTCCACATGCCAAATAATTAAATTGAGGAATTTCTTATTTTTTACAAACATATCAATGCGTGAACAGTGTGGCACCTGGATGTCATACATTCTCATACAAATAAAACTAGTATAATTAATCATGGTTATTACATTCAATCAACTTATATATTTCTAATAATAATACCCATTTATATTAAGTTGCAATCTGTCATTATTCAATTATTCCATGTTTTCTCTTATTATTCCTTTATTATGTAAAAGTGTATATACACTAATATTCCCCCTTCTCTTACTTCTATCACTGATTCTAACTTTTAATCATATCACCCTTTATTAAAAGACATTTTCTTTCTAACCTACCTAATTTCTAATCATGTCACCTACCTAAAAAGAAAAGAAAATGAAGAGAGATAAGAGGAAAGGCAAATCAGAGCAACAAAAAAGAGAAATAAACTATCCATCATCTCTTGCCCGCTTCAATACTTTAATTGCTATGCTTTTTTTTTTTTTTGACTTGCCTGTCAAATTTAAATTTAAATTGAGGAATTTCTGTTCTCTTCAGCAGGTCTTAAATACCTTCTGCCTTCCACCTGAATTGGCTATTTTGCATGATCAAATCCAAGTCACAAAGGCTCTAGGACTTGGCCAGTTGCTTGAATTCTTTGTTGAGGTCAAGAGTGGAAGGATTTTGTTATCTTAATGCTGTTCAGGCTGATTTACTACATGGCTGTAAAAAACGGACAATCCAAAGATCAGCCAAGAAATAAGTAGAACTGATGTTATTAAGGGAAGAAAACAAAGTGGAGGTTGTGATTTAAGAAGGAAGGGGAAGCAAAGAGAAGGCAAAAAGGATACAATATTCAATTTATATAATAGCTCTTTTCATTTTGGCAATTTACTTATAGGGATCAATGTTGGTTTTAATCTAAAAGACAGTTAAGATAAATGTAAAGGTTCCCCTCGCACGTATGTGCTAGTCATTCCTGACTCTAGAGGGCAGTGCTCATCTCCATTTCAAAGCCGAAGAGACAGCGCTGTCCGAAGACGTCTCCGTGGTCATGTGGCCGGCATGACTAAATGCCAAAGGCGCACAGAATGCTGTTACCTTCCCACCAAAGGTGGTCCCTATTTTTCTACTTGCGTTTCTTACGTGCTTTCAAACTGCTAGGTTGGCAGAAGCTGGGACAAGTAACGGGAGCTCACCCCGCTACGCGCCACTAGGGATTCGAATCTCTGAACTGCCGACCTTTCGAGCGACAAGCTCGGCATCTTAGCCACTGAGCCACCGCATCCCTTCAAAAGTTAAAGACAGTGAAAGGGCAGGTATTTTGGATAGTTAAGGATATTTTGGAATATTTGGCGCAACATCATAAAAAGCAAGCCGCACTGATTTTCTTAGAGAAGGCCTTTGAAAATTTGCATTCGTGTTCAAAGTTTGGGAAGGTATAAATTCTGGACAGAACTTTATAAAATGGGTAAGATGGATTTATACTTCAGAGAAAGCACCAATAACTGTTAATGGAGATTTCACAAAGTTTTGTGAGGTACCGAAAAGGACAAGACAGAGATGCCCAGTCCAGGGATGGTATTCACTTACCTTTGTTACCGGTTCGCAAAAGTGAGCGCATGTGTACCACCTGTGCACATGCACAGGGCCTTCCGCGCATGCGCAAAGCATCAAAAACGGGATGGGATAACATCCGGGAGGGTAGGCGGAGTCTCCCGCAGCCACCGTTACCGATTCACACGAACCGGATAGAACCAGCTGAATACCACCACTGGCCAAGTCTTTCTTGTTTATTTTGGTTCTTGAAATACTGAACAGAGATAGAAGACAGGATGAGAGAATTGTGGAGGTAAAGATAAAAAAAGAAACATATAGTTTAAGGCAGAGGTCTTCAAACTAGGCAGCTTTAAGACTTTTGGACTTCAACTCCCAGAATTTTCTAGCCAGCTATGAGCATAGCATAGCATGCCAAGACCTCTGCTTTAAGGGCTTCTGCAGATGACGACAATTTAAAGAAATTGAAACATTCATGGGAAAACTAGAAGAATTTGGTGCATTTGTAGGTTTTAAGATCAACAAACAGAAGAGGAAGATGTCCACGAATAACATGAATACAGAAGATCATACAGAATCGAGAAACAGAATGGTTTTAAAGAAAGAAAAAAAATTAAAAATATCTGGGTATCATTATGACAAATATGAATTATATGTTATTCAAAACATATTAAGATGTGGAATGAAGTGTAAAAAAGATATCTTAAGATGGGACAAACTATTATTGTAATTGCTGAGGGAACATTATGTTATAAAAATTAAATGTCCTGCTTAGAATTATGTTTTTGTTCCGGATATTACCTCTTTTGACATCTGAAGTCTGCTTTAAATAGTGGCAAAAGGGTAATCTAAATTTGTGTATCGGGGAAAAACATGAGTTAAAGTGTTACCGGATGCAAAAGAAAGAGGAGGATTTGGGTTACCAGATGTGAAACTGAATTTTGCAGCCTGCTATTTGGTTTGGATGAAGGAGTGGATGCTGCTAAGAAATGAAAGGCTTTGAGAGTTAGACTGATATGCCATGGATAATTGTGGTACAATAAAATCAAGTTTAATGTGGATCTAAAAAAAAAAAAATTACCTCAGACTTGCCATAAGAGTACTATGCTAATCCATAAAGTGGTTTGTTAAATTTAGCATATTGTGTGAACTTGAGTAACATTGTCTTATTCAGTAAGCCACAATTAAATCGAGATGTATAAAGAAGACCACAGTTGTGGGCAAGTGAGTAGTTTGGATATCTAACCTGTTGTAATATTTCGACTTTTGTCTCAATATTCAGCTTTCACAGCAAAATCAATCATTGTGAAGTTGCAAATGCCAGCTTCCTGGCTCTTGAAGTAGGGATGCAAATGTCATTTCTTTCTTTCTTCTTTCTTTCTTTAAACAGTTGTCTGCGGATCCTGGTTCGACCACGTTTTAAGCTGGGAAAAACACTTGCATGAGAAAAACATCCTGTTCTTGTTCTACGAAGACATGAAAAAGGTAAATTGGCAACCCTTTCTTATTTCTGAACAGATGAAGGAGGCAGATGCCAAAGCATTTTGCTCCATCTTATTTTTCTTTCACTGATCGTAATGTAGCTGCCCGTAACTTCATGCATTTTAATGTCTTGTTGTCACACAGCCATGTGGCCAGGGAATTTTGGTATTGTAGTTCAGCGCAAGGACATCAGATTGATGACTTTTAGACTCCTACCTTCCAGGAATGGTAGGTTCTATTTACATCATTTATTTGCTATTTTATAGCCCATCCTGCTCCTAAGTGGACACACACTTATATATATCTTGCATGTATTCATATCCATGGGACGTGCAAAACCTACCATTCCAGGAACCAGACACTCAGCTATTAGAGAATTGTACAAAATTTGATTCTTTGACCTGCAGAATGGTAGTTTTTGGATATTCCCTTTATCTCATTTCCTCTCTGTGTGTGATTTTGTTTACATGAGAGTGTGTGTGTGTGTGTGTATTAAGGGATCTATCTATCTATCTATCTATCTATCTATCTATCTATCTATCTATCTATCTATCTATCTATATCTATATCTATCATCTCTATCTATCTATCTCTATCTCTATCTATCTATCATCTATCTCTATCTATCATCTCTATCTATCTATCATCTCTCTCTCTATATATATATATATATATCTATCATCTCTAATATATCTATCTATATCATATCTATATCTATCTATCTATCTATCTATCTATCTATCTATCTATCTATCATCTCTATCTAATATCTATATCTATATCTATCTATCTATCTATCTATCTATCTATCTATCTATCTATCTATCATCTATGTATCATCTCTATCTAATATCTATCTATCTATCTATTTATCTATCTATCATCTATCTCTATCTATCATCTCTATCTATCTATCTATCTCTTATCTATCTATCTATCATCTCTATCTAATAGATATATTATCTATATTATATCTATCATATCTATCTATTTCTATCTATCTATCTATCTATCTATCTATCTATCTATCTATCTATCATCTCTATCTAATATTTCTTATCTATCTATCTATCTATCTATCTATCTATCTATCTATCTATCTATCGTCTGTTTGTTTGTTTATTTCATTAGATTTTTATCCAGCCTTATAAGTAATTCAGAATGGCGGACATACCTAATACTCCTTCCTCCTATGATTTTCCTCAGAATAACAACCCTGTGAGGTAGGCTGGGCTCAGAGAGAGTGACTGGCCCTTAAGTCACTTAGCCAGTTTTCATGGCTAAGGCGGGACTAGAACTCAGAGTCTCCCTGACACAGGAGTAGAACTTACTGTCTCCTGGGTTCTAACCTGGCTCCTTAACCACTAGGCCAAACTGTTTTTTTAAAAACTTATAAAACCTTTCCTCACCAGAAAACAGTAATCTATATGGTTCTCGGTTTCATTCCGAGAACAACACCGTGAGGTGGGTTAGATTCCATGTTCCTGTAGAAGAAGATAAGATAATAGATTGTGTCCTCTAGAGAGAAAATTCTATGTACACCATTCTGTTTAGGCCAGTAGTGCTATTCACTTACCTTTGCTACCGGTTCGCAAATGTTGAGTGTGTGCCCCACCTCTGCGCATGTGCAGAGCTTCTGTGATGACATCCGGGTGGGTGGGTGGAGCTTCCTGTTGCCGCTGCTACCAGTTTATCCGAACCGGGTAGAACCAATAAAATCCCACCACTGGTTTAGGCATAGAAAAATACTGAAATCAGCATGAGAATTTCCAGACTCCCCGTAAATACATCAAAATCCCTTTTGCAGTTTCTCAGATGTTTTTCTTCTTCTATCTCACACTAATAAAGGAGAATATTTGTACTTGGGGTTGAAATGAAGGGTTTTTGGCACTCTCTGAGCTTGGCTGTTTTCTTGCAGATGTTTCATTATTCAAGCTAGGGAACATCATCCTTGCTAATGCTGATGATGTTACCTAATTTGGTAACGAAACGTCTGCAGGAAAACATTCAAGCTTAGAGAGCACCAAGGACCTCCTTCTTCTCACACCGTTTGGGAATTTCTTGTGATGTTGTAAAAATGACTTTATTGTGAGGGGGAGAAAAAGGAAGCTACTGTGGATGTTGTTATTTCCTGTTGAGCATCTTCTGTCATCTTGAAGCCTTTTTTGGCTATCCGCCCTCTCAATCTGAAACAGAGCAAAAGGGGGAATTTTCACCCGCTGTCTTTCTGTGGGATTGAGAAACCAAAGAAGCTGTAAACCACCGGAGAAAAGATATGCAATTAAACCCGATAATTGACACATGATCTTTGGCCATTAACTACGTGTAAGAAGGTGACCGTTCTCCATTAAATTTACTCAAATCTTTCTTCATTTTTGAAAGACGGCTGAAAAGTAAATTAATTTTGGTAAATCAAAGTGCAAACAGTATGCTTCAACACAGGGGCGTGATGGCTCAGTGGTTAAAGACTCTGAGTTTGTCCTCTGGAAAGCGGGCAGCCTAGGTTTGAGTCCCAAGCGCTACATGACAGGGTGAGCTCCCGTTCTTGCCTCAGCTCCTGCCCACCTAGCAGTTCGAAAGCATGCAAATGCGAATAGATAAATAGGTACCAATTTTCTCGGAAGGTAACAGTGTTTGTGTGGAAATGTCTTCAGATAATGTTGGCTCCCTCAGCTAAGAAACAGAAATGAGCACCACCTACTAGAATTGCACACAACCGCACAAGAAAATCTTGACCTGTACCTTTATATTTCTACATGGAATTAACAGATTGATGCCTGCTACATTAATTTGATTTGAATGGGATTGCAAATCGAAAAGCAACAGCAATACCAATTGCAATCAAAGGGAAAGTTAGGAAATTATTCTTTCAACAGGCGTCAATTGGAAAAAAACTTAAATTTCTCCAGATACATTGGATTATGAGGATTCTTGGGAATCCTCAAAGTTGCAATCCAATCCAGTTAGGATATCGTGCATTGAGGACAGCTGCTTGACTGGAAGAGCAGAATGAGGTCTATCTTCCAGTAAATATGTTTAAAACTGGAGCTCTTTTGGCAAAGATTTATTTTTGGGGGGAGGAATCCTTTGAAAATTTTGGCCTGATTTTATATGTTCACTCCTTCCACTGGGCAGTGCAGTGGCTCAACAGTTAAGACACTGGGCTTGTCAGCTGGAATGCTGGCAGCCCAGGTTCGCGGCCGAGTGCCACACAACGGGTGAGCTCCTCGCCCCAGCTCTTGCCAGCCTACCAATTTGAAAGCATGCAAATGAGAGTAGATAAATAGGTACCACTTTGGTGGGAAGGTGTTCTCTGATGTCATGCTAACCACATGACTGGGGAAATGTCTTCGGACAACACTGGCTCAATGGCCTTGAAATGGAGATGAGCAGAGTAAAATCTGCAGGGACTCCTACTCCTTCCATTTCAGTGGGAGGGAATAAACACATAACACAAAAATCACAGATCATTTTTCTCTGTTGTTTACACATTCAGGATCTCCCCAAGGTGGTGAAGAAGTTAAGTGCCTTCCTAGGGATCAACCCCACTGAGAGCCAGATCTATGAAATCTGCAAAAAGTCTTCCTTCAACGAGATGAAAACCAATACAGAAAAGGAAAATTCTGATCAAAACCACACAGTCTGTGTACTCACTTCCAACCGGAAATTGATATTCCGAAAAGGTAATTTGAAGTGCGAACCAATAATGGAATGGAATGGAATGGAATAGAATAGAACTACCATTGAGCAAGGTCCCACATATACTGTACCTGTGCATTTTGTTTTGCTTGCCTAAATGTAGAACCTCACTTTTTTTCACCGTTGAATTTCAATTTGTTAGATAGCGCCCAATGTTCAAGTCTGAATGTTAAGAGCAGGGGTTCTCAATCGGTGGTCCGTGGACCTGGGGAAGGTTGCACGCATGATTCATCACAGGGGGTCTCTGAAGGCTTGAAAAAATGTTATGATTTAATTTTAAATCTTGGGGGTCCATGGCCATGATCTGTGGCCATAAAAGGTATTTAAAGGGACTCCATGGTGAAGAAAAGATTGAGAACCACTGATTTAGAAGGTACATTTCAGATGAAGTTAACCAAACTAAAAAAAACATTGTCATTTACACCAGGACTATTTTTATTGTAAAATGAATTATATGGTATGTTGCGTGAATCAGGTAGTGTGCTAATGCTAGGACCAGGTGTTGGCTGCTGGGGGTTCGTAGGGGTTCGGGAGAACCTCTAGGTAAGATTCTATGCAGTTTGGAGAACCCCCCAAATCCCACTCTTGGCTGGCCCCGCCCCGCCCACCCCATCCCTCCCAGAAATCCCCACACGGCCCATTTTGGATGCAGATAAGTGCAGGGCGTGTCCGGAGGCTTGGGGAGGGTGAAAAATGGAAGTTCAAGAAGGCCGGAAATGGGCCTGTTTCTGGCCTCCAGAGCCTGGGGAGGCCGTTTTCACCCTTCCGGAGGCTCGCAGAAAGACCAAGGAGGGTAAAAAGGAGGAGCCCAAGGAGGGCAAAAATGCCCCCCCTCCGCCGTGGTGCAGGAGGCTTTCTAGGCCACACCCACCATGGCCACACCCACCCAGCAATTGGGCAGAGAACCCTTGCTAAAAATGTTGAAGCCCACCCCTGTCTTAGGACATATCCCTGAGGTAGATCTGTCTTCTCATCTCCTAAACTTCTAAATGGTGTGTTTTCTGCTTATAAACCTGTCTGCAATTCTTTATCACTCCCATCACTTTAACTCACAAAGTGATAAAAAAAAATTTGTCATCCGGGACATGTTTTTCTTTCATTTATTTCCAGGTACCGAGTTCTTCCAGTTCAGGTCACAACCAAGATGTTTATGTGCCTTTTCTGAGCTCTGTTTCTGTGCTTTCCCTTCCTCCCAGCTGCCCATAAAACTCCCAAGGACAGCTCACATCGCAGGACAAAGTTGCTGAGCTTATCTGGAACTAATCAGAATCTAGAGACATTTCTCTGCACAGGGCTGCAGATACACAGATCAATGTCTAATCTGTGGTTTTCAAGGGTTGAGAACTAGGTGAGATGCCAAAGCATCATCCAAATCCATGGTGGTGCAGTGGTTAGAATGCGGTACTGCAGGCTAATTTTACCCACTGCCAGCAGTTCGATTCTCAAGGTTGACTCGGCCTTCCATCCTTCCGAGGTCGGTAAAATGAGGACCCAGATTGTTTGGGGGGGGGCAATATGCTGACTCTGTAAACTGCATAGAGAGGGCTGTAAAGCACTGTGAAGCGGTACATAAATCTTAAGTGTTATTGCTATTGCTATCATGGTGAAATTGTCACCCTAGACCAGGGTTCCTCAAACTTGGCAGCTTTGAGACTTGTGGACTTCAACTCCCAGAAGTTGAAGTCCACAAATCTTAAAGCTGCCAAGTTTGAAGACCTCTGCCGTAGACTCTGAATAAGTTCAGTCTTAACCTTCCAAGAGAAAGTTCTCAAGAAGACCAATTCTAAGTTGATCAAGGACTGGATGTTGTCTGTGGGATCTGGAGTCTTCTGAAAGTAGTCCAACTTCAGGGTTAGGTTCAAATAACACACCTAGTTACCTAACGTCATAACTGAAATAACCCATCTTCTGCATTTGTAAGATACATTGGACCCTAATGAGCCAAATTTGCATAACACGTCAAGACAAAAAATAATACTAACCATCATTATTTTTCTGTCATTTTGCATGTACACTAAGAGCTTCTGCACCAGAGACAAACTCCTTGTGTGTCTAATCACATTTAGCCAAATAAATTATTCTGTTCTGTTCTGTTCTGTTCTGTTCTGTTCTATTCTATTCTATTCTATTCTATTCTATTCTATTCTATTCTATTCTATTCTATTCTATTCTATTCTTCTATTCTACTCTACTCTACTCTACTCTACTCTACTCTACTCTACTAGTCTAGTCTAGTCTAGTCTAGTCTAGTCTAGTCTATAAGAGCCTTGGTGGCGCAGCAGACTAAAACACTGTTAAGTACACACCAGCTGCCTGCAATTACTGCAAGTTCGAATCTCACCAGGCTCAAGGTTGACTCAGCCTTCCATCCTTTCGAGGTAGGTAAAATGAGGACCGGATTGTGGGGGCAATAAGCTGACTTTGTAAAAAAAAAGAACACCTCTTGTGGGGGGCCAAAAGCCCTACTAAGCAGGTATATACAAAAGTATGAAGGCTATTGCTTAACGTGTTGTAAGCCGCCCTGAGTCTCCGGAAAAGGGCAGCATATAAATCGAACCAATAAATAAATAAATAAATAAATAAATAAATAAATAAATAAATAAATAAATAAATAAATAAATAAATAAATATTATATTCCATATTTTCTATTCCATTCCATTCTGTTTTACGGGGACACGCTACTGTGGTTTCTCATTTTTTGAACATAAAAACTTTCAGAACAGGTAACTAGATTGATTTTCTGAACTCACACCTTAATACCAAGAGAACATGGTTTCTCCCCATTTATGTAATCTAACCAAATCAAATATCTTTATTACAGTCTTGGACCAACATTT